TCTCACTGCTCGACACTTTTAATGTGTCTCATGAAGGCTGAGCACTCCAATTCCTTAAGAAGATGTTTCTGTAAGATCAGTCAAGTCTTTTAAGCACTTAAAACACACCAAGATGTAAGTTGCACAGATTAGAGACTAAGCCATAAATGATTAATAAGCTTGTTCTGGCAATTCATCATGCGCTTGAAAGGCAATTTTTATAGCCTAATGTGTCAGTAGCCTGTACCAGCAAGCTCTTTCATTCAGCAGAATCAGAAAGGATTTAAAAGGATGGGAAACAATTTTTTCCAGGGTTTTCTCGCTTGCCCTTCACTAAATGACATAACAAAATCTATAAAATATTTTATGCTACAAGAAATGTGTTGTGCTATTTTTAAACTGAAAACATTGAAACTTGTACTTACAAATCCTGTTGCAGATACAACTGTTCAAACAGAAAGATGCAATAAATTTATGTTATAACAATGGCAAAATTTAAAACAAACAGATTAACAGGCTTTGCTTCTGAGCTTAAAACATATAGTACAATAATAGAAGTTGCACTTGGCAAAGACTTTGAAAAATAAACTGAAGTTTCTCTTGCTCATTGCAGCTCTCTGCTGATTCTGTTACATGTGAAATACAGTCTAATTTCAGCAAGATTTCACTTTTTCAGTGGGAATTTATTTCTCCCCAACCCAGATTATAAATGTTATAATGTTCAGTAGGTGGCACCAGCTGCCCACGTCCAGTGTGGGCTCCAGAATGACATCAAGGTGTGCTGGTGTGCCTTGTCTGGAAATCTGAGTCATATCCAGAGCCAGGGAAGTGACAGCTCCAACTTACAGGCCATCTCCAGAGGCACTGGAAAACACGTTCCTCACTGTAAGGGAAGTTTATTTTTCCCCCTCTCTGTTGCCATCATAGACTGTGCTTTGTGTTCTTTCACATTCTTGTGCCTCACCTGTGCAGTTACACAACTCGTGTGTACACAAGACACAGCTTTTGTCAGTGCTCTGCTAACCCAGCTGTCCACTGCTAACCCTGCAGTGCCAGAGCAGAGTGGGATCTGCTGGCAGGGAGGGCAGGGCTGGGCAAGAGACACTGGGCCACATCACCCTTTTACCTCCTGTGGTGGCTGCCCTGCATCCTCCTGCCCTACCTTCGCATTACAGACCCCACTGCAGAAGAAAAAGTAGATGAAATAAATTGCTGTTACTGGTTTTGTTAAGTTGCCAGCTGCTCAATGCCTCTCTTCTTTTGCCCGTGGTACAAAAGCAGTGAGGAGCCATGAGCCAGGCAGACACAAAGCGTGGTACGGGGGGATGAACTCAGCGGAGCAGAGCCCTTAAAAGAAAGGGTCACGTACTGCCAGCCTGGCTTTGCATATATTCCCAACTAAAGCCCTGGTTTTGCAGGCTTCTGCGTGTGATTATTTTTCACATGAGAGGAAATCATAAAAAATTTTTACTGGTCCGGACCAGGTTTATAGATACTACCAGTTAGTCCTAGATTGGTATTTTTTATGCCAATGGGATGATTCCCAAAACAGAACATACATAATTATTTTCATGACCAAATAACAAATCTCCAGCCAGAATAATATCCCTGGCTGAACAATGTAACCCAGACTCGTTTGAGCTGCCCAGCTCATATTTTATTTTTGGACAGAACCAGACAGAATGAAGGAGCCACAGCTTTCTCTGGAGAAATGCACTCCAGACTTGCTTGAGCATAGACAGCAGGGGGAGATACAAGGCTTTTGCCCTATGATAGGCGTAGTCTGGATTTGGCTTTGCTTGACAGGGTGAATAATGCATGGATGGAGAGGAGGAACCCAGAGGAAACCAATAATGCTTTGCAAAGTGAGTGACAAATGGGGTAACAGCTTTAATCAGGTCTTGATATGGAAGTCATTCTGTTAACACGAGGAGTAAAGTTTTATTCTTACATAAGTGTTTTATATTTTGCTGTGGATGCACGGAGAAAAGACATGGTGCACCTCCAACATTTGCTAACATTTAAGAGGGAATTTCACAGTGTTCAGAAACCCTGAAGCCACAAGCAATTCAAGCTAGAAAGTCATCTTCAGTGAACCCTTTGATAGCTTGTTGGTGTGCACTTCAATTGATATTTCAGATTAATCCCTTTGCATGTTCTCTATAGTTAAAAGAAAAGCGTTGGCAGTTTTTCATAACTCCCCACCTTGAAAATGGGTTGCCTTAGTTACCGTGGCCAGCTTGAGAGACAGCAAATTTAGCACTAATACATTTTCAAAGCTCTGCACTTTCTGTAAAACATCTATGTCATAATCAGCTACAACATATGCTTTTATAATCGTGTTGATAAGCACAGTGGTGATGTCTAGTCAAATTAAATAAGGGGTGAAAATTGTCACCGGCCAGAACAATAGTCGTGGGCCATTACCTTAGTGACTGTCCTGTGTATATTGGGAGAAACAGGTTGTGGAATTTCCCTGTAATTGAAAATAAGGTTGGCTTCAAATGTCTCAGATATCTGGTGCTTGGAAGCAGCCCGCTGCAGTCAAGATCATACTTTCCCCAGTAGGAAATTGATAAGTTTTATGTTGTCCCCTTTATTGGTGATTCAGTATTTCCTCTGATGCTTCAGAAAATTGGAGGAAACGGTTATTCTTTAAAGGGTAACTGCTATCCATAATAAACAGAGTTAACAGTGGTCTCCAGGGCTATTGATTTATCTTGTTCTCATGAGCACATTATTTATTTGAGAACAGCTCAAATAGTTTATTTATGAAATTAGCTAGCATGTGTTTCACTGCAGCTCCAGTGTTTTTCCTGATTAACAGTTGCTACTTGTTGATGCTTCTAAACTGCATGGCTCTCTGAGTTTGAGCTAAATATCTGAAACTTAGAGTAATAATGTGAAGGAGGAAAACACTGTATTTACTTTTTATTATATCCTGATAGAAAAAGTAACCTTCTAAGTCTTCAAATTACTAAAAGAGCCTCCCTTTTTTTCAGAAGCTTCTGTTTTTACAGAAGGTCAGACCTTAGGGTTGAGTTTATCCGTGTGAAGTTTCACCCCGTGGCTGAAATGACATACTGAAAATGTTTTGCAAAACTTTAAATGGCACTGGGGGAAAATAAATAACAAGTCTCATATAACATGAATAACATATATATATGTCTCATATAAATAAATAACAGCCTCAGCCTTTGGTCACAGTCAGAACAAAAACAGGTGTGTTTCTACATACAAATGCATCTCCTGATACATGTAATTGTGCAAACTAACCACTGTGTGGTTTTTAATGTATCAAGAGGGCACTACTCCTTCAGCTGCTAGACCCATCAGTTTCTGGACTTTCCTTCACAGTTTTACAAACAGAAATGCCCTCTGGGGTCAGCCCTCTGCTCCACTTGCTCCCAGTGGTGATAGGAGTTGCTGTTTGGAGAGAGTATGAGCCCAGACATTTTCTGCTCTTCTTTCTCGTCAGCCTTCCCCAGCCTCCAGAGCTGTTGCGTCCGTGATGTTAGCGAGTACATTTATGGGCCTTCTCTTGGAGAATTTACCTTATCCCTTTTTGGACCTGCTGATACCATCTGCCTTACAGCCTCCTCCAAGTTCTAAAGGTTTACTGCCCACTGTGTAAAGACACTCCCTTAAGCGTGTTTTATAATGATATATCTTTGCAACATCCCCAGGAAGAAGAGCATATTCATCCTCATTTGACAGTAGGGAAAGATTAGGAGGGTTGTTTCCAAAAGTACCACTTAATAGATGTCTCATGCATGAATTTGTCTAATGTGAGGCATCTGAGTTTTCAGATGCCTGAACTGATTTCTATCCCTGATCAGTCATGCACAATGATTAACATACAAATGAGGATCACTTGTGGTGTTGTTTGATTTTTGACTGACCCATAATTAAGTACTAATTCCACAGCAAAGCAGAGGCCAAACCTAGTTCTCCCAGACACGGTCAACTTCCTTTTCTTGGACGTTTTTATCTGGCTCATCATTTGTTATCTTTACAGCCATTATCAGAAAGGGACCACAATAAAAGCTGGCATCATTCACTGATGTTCCAGACTTATCCGCTGAACAAAGAGTGGCATTTGCCTGATCCAGGGAAAACTGCAGTTGAAAACACAGTGTAGAACTGTACAATTACAGCCTGTCTGTTAAGGCACAAACGGAATTATATAGAATTAATATTATTGCGGGGAAAAGCATCTCAAAAAGCGTCTTATGATTTCCTAGAAAACAAATAATATGGGGAATGGCTCAGGGAGCTGGGTTTGTTTAGTCTTGAGAAGAAGAGGCTCAAGGGAGACCTCATGGCTCTCTACAACTACCTGAAAGAAGGTTGTGGTGAGGTGGGGGCTGGTCTCTTCTGCCATGCCAGTAGCGAAAGGACCAGAGGAAATGGCCTCAAGCTGAGGCAGGGGAGATTCATATTAAATACTGGAATTTTTTTTTTTCACTGTTAGAGTGGTCAGGTATTGGAATAGGTTGCCCACGAAGGTGGTGGAGTCATCACCCCTGGAGTTGTTCAAGAGGCATCTGAATCTGGTGCTGGGTGACGTGGTTTAGTGCTTTAGGGGTTACAGTGATAGTGCTGGGTTGACAGCTGGACTTGATGATCTTAAAGGTCTCTTTCCAACCCAGTGATTCTACGATTCAATGATTCTACAATGATCAGTATTGCAAAACCCGAACCCCCGGCAACATCCCCACCAAAATCGAAAGAGGATGAGAAGAAAGCGCAAAAGAAGTAGGAAAGCAACAAGCGCCCAGAACCAAAAGGTTGCGCCTGCCCCGCGTCCGTCCACAGCAGCAGCGAGGGGCCACGGCGGTGCTGCGATTCCCAGGGAGCGGGGCTGTGATTCCCGGGAGCGGGGCTGCGATTCCCGGGAGTGGGGCTGCGATTCCCGGGAGTGGGGCTGGCCGGGAGGGCGGGGCGGGGCCGGGCGGTGTCCCCGGCGGGCGGTGTGGCCGCGGTGGCGGCGCGGGGCGGGCGCACTCGGCAGGGGCGAGCCCGCGGTGTCGGGGGCTCGGCTCTCGCCATGCACCCCCCGGCCGCCCCCCGGCCCGCCGCGCTGCCGCGCCTGCTGCTCTCCGGAGCGGCGCGGGCGCTGCTGTGGCTCGGCCCCGTGTACCTGGCGGGGTACCTGGGGCTCAGCGGCAGCTGGGTGCTGCTGGCGCTGGCGCTGTGGCTCTGCTGGGGACACAACCGCCGGGGCAAGCGAGACCGCCTGGCCGCCGCCTTCGCGCTGCTGGAGGACGAGCGGGAGGCGGTGTGCAGGGGCCTGGCCGCCCGGCACCTGCCTGCCTGGGTGAGTAGGGACCGGGGGGTGCTGCCCTGCATCCCCCCCGGCAGCGGGGATGTTGCGGGTCCTGGCGACGGCGGGGCTAGGACGAGAGCGGGGTGTCCCGTAGCGAGCAGCCGAAGGAGTGGCAGTGATGCTACGGGCCAAGCGGTAGGGTCTCTGATTCTGAAGTCTTGCTCAGTAAAGCGAGGATTAAACTGGAAGTTGTTTTAGCCCAGGAGATGTGCAGTAAGGGGGGTTGTAAAGCAGACTGCTGTATCGCCAGAGAAACCTCCTTTCAGAGATGTGTTGTTGCATTGCAGATATTTTGCTGTCGAGGACACTTATTTCAGACTTCCTCATCCAGCTAATTTTCTTCTCTTTAGTCCCACTAAAAACAAACAAAAATATATAAACATAATATTCCCTGCTTGCTAAAAACCAAATATTTGTCTTTAAAGAGCCATTTATGGATGGTGTGGAAAGCCAGTCCCTTGTTTGTTGTTCACATTTGTTTCTAGCTGCTCGAGGTTTAAAGTGAAGAAGTCAGAAAATCTACCTGCACATTTTATTCCACATCTTTGGTTATTTGTTGGGTAGCCATGGTTGGCTAATGGAAAGTATGATGAGGTGTATGTTTGGTTTTTTTTCTTCATCATCATTTGCTTAGCATTTCAAAACCTGCCAGGGACTGGTAGGGAAATGCTTTTCTTGTAAGAAAGAGAATATCAAAGAGCTCTATTTCTAAGGAGTGTTGCACGGAGACATTTATAGTCAGCAAACTTTTATGTAGCCTACAGCATTTGGCTGTCCTTAGTTCTATGGGAAACGAAGGCAGCTGGCAGTTCTGGGGAGGGAAGCCAGGGTCTCCTGGCAGAGCTGGTGCAGCTCCCCGCGCATGTTCCCTCCCGCCGGGCACAGAAGTCTCTCTGAATGAGGTTTCTGCTTGTTTGTATTGACAGAGCGTTTAAAAACACTCACAGCATTAATGAGTGTGGTGGTGTCAGCTCTTGTCCTGATGCTGTGTTTTATCCTCAAGTGCCCTGGATCGTGATAACCAGAAATTGAGTCTCTTAGTCACTGTTGAAAAATCAGTCGTCCCCCAGTGCATACAAACTTAAAAAGTTCTACTAGGTCTTGTGGTTCAAAGTGTCAGGCTTCATTAGTGTGGGAGCAGGCAGCTAAGGATTACTGATCGCCCTGTACTCGGCCTTCATGAGGCTGCACAGAGAGCACCGTGTGTCCCAAGCACAGGAGAGGCTTGGAAAAAAGTCTGGGGAAACTCCAGCAGGGCCCATCGAGATGATCAGAGACTGCAGCACCTGGTGTGAGGAGAGGAGACACAGCTGGGACTTTTCAGCCTCCTTCAGGAGAAGGGAAAGTTTAAGGGGTATCTCACCTCTGTCTCCTACTGCCCAGCATATGCTCACAGAGATGGCAGAGTGACTCTTTTCAGAGGACTGATTCCTGACTTAGGAATTCTTGGAGCTGGCTGCCAGAAGGCAGGATAGGATGTAGGACCAAAGAATAAAGGGGCTGCACCCCATGCTTTTAGTTTTGTCTTTCATCCATGTTGCCACTTCTCCTCCTTTCCATTTCTATGTTGGTGACTTCATCAGTTGGTGTTTGCTTCCACACCATGCTTGTACTCAGTGCATTTTTAACTCCTCTGTTTAATTCTCCTATCTCCTTCTTCTACTGATCTTCTACTTCTCCCCTGTGCTGATCTTGGAGGCTGATTCTCACCTGATTCCTATTCAGTTTATTCTCTGTAGTGTTGTCTTTTTTTAATCTTTCATTTTTGCCTTTCAGTGCTCATGAGCCTTTATTGAGAGAGCTCTAAAAATGTCCCTTGCATTCTTCTCTCCTGTCATGCAGAGGTGGGAGCAAGGGGAGCATGGGTTGGATTTGCAGTGTTGTAATCCTAGGAAAGTTTCTGGAGGTGTGAAGCAATGGCAGCGTCTTGGGTTTTCTAAATCTTTGTCTCTTCATGTGCTCTGTAGCAAAATGAGGGGGATCCATCCCATGAAGAGTTAAAACATTGAATGTACTATTTGTTCACAACTGTTCTTTCTAAGAGCAGTGTAGTGGCTTCTTCAAATGTGACTCGAGTTCCACTCAGTCCGGATATCAGTTGTTAGGAGATATTCATATTGCAGCCTTTCCTTCAGGGGGCATGCTGAAAGGGTTTCCCTAATCTACTCAACCATCTGTTTAGGGAAATTTTCAGGGTTATTTTGCAGCACCAATTTCTTGGCTGAAACCAGAGAGTGAGTTTGGAATAGAAGGCATTCCTGTGCTAGACAGTGTATGTGGGCAGGCAGCGCTTCCTTAGGAAACCAGGCTGGAAATCTGCTCATGGCAAGCAGGGTGAGATCTATGTCTTGGAGTAATGAGACTTTCTGACTTCAGCTTGTTCAGCCTTTAGCATGATTTCTGTAAAAGCAGGCAGTGCCCAGAGCAGAGGTAACCAGGCTTCCACCTTCTTTCTGGTTCCCTGGGGTGGTGGCAATTTCTCCATGTTCCTTTTGCAGCTGTTTGTAGTTTGCATGTGAGATGACCCAAGTATGCTGGGTTCCTTCCTGATGTTAAGCTCCTTTTAACCAGAAGAAATACTACTGGGTACAGAACTGTCTTTTTAAATCGTTGCCTTTTAATTCCTTGTTCAGGTAAAAGGATTATTTAGACTTTTTTTTTTCTCTCCCTTAAAAAACCAAAGTGCCAAAAATAAACCAACAAAACCTAAACCAAAACAAATAAAGAAGCAAAAAACAAATCCAAATCCTGATGGGTAGATTCTTGTATTGTATTTGACAGAAATGGCACTGTTGTGTCAGACATGGCTTTTGTTGCTGCTGTGATCCTTGGTATGTCCTGCTCTAGGGCAAGGTGGAGCCATGCAGAAATTTCCATGTTTTCTTTACTTGCTAGTAATTGCCCCTTACCTTGTGGTTTTGATCTTTAAAGCTCATTTCAAATGCTAAGTAATTTTTGCAGCATTCCTTAAACTTTGGCAAGAAGTATGCTTGCTTTTGTAGGTGGGTAAAAATGATTTTGACAGTGTGACTTGCCCAGGGCTACAGGATTAAATCTTATTTGTGTTAGTATTAACTTTGGCAGCTCCTGGTTTCTGGTTCTGGGCTTAGGAAGAAGTGTTTTGGGCTTCTCTTACCTGTGCTGTACTGATGACAAACTCAAGGGGTGGGGCTCTCACCACTAAAAAGGGACAGAAGGGAGTCAGAAATCCAAAGCATGTGGTTCAAAAGTATGGATCTGGGCGTGGTTTTGTTAGGACATATTAGGACAGAGTAAGTTCTTGGCATGAGTGGTTGGATCAAGAAGAGAGCTTGGTGGTGTCAATGGGCTCAGCTAGGCACATGACATGCTGGCTACTGGGAGATACACATTATGAGGATACCCTGTGGGTAGGAAAGGATTTGCTCAGAGCTTGTGTCTTACTACACAGTGGATAATCTAGCTGCATCACCTGGATACCAAGCTCTGCTTCCTCTGCAGAACTGCCCATTTAGTTCTTCCCAGGGAGTGGGCCTGAACTTTGGTATTGGAAACCCACTGAAACTGGTGGCCTTTCATAGTGGGCAGAAAGCTAGTTTTCACCAGAGACATGTAGTCAGCTCGTTTCTGTGGTGTTCACCTCTGCAAGCCCTGTTGTGTGAGCCCAGGTGCTCCTGGTGGTCTTTGGTACCAAGCTTTGAGCTACAGCAGTGCTATTCCTTCCATCTGTCAGAGGAAACTGAGGCACAGAGTGTCTGGGTAGGAGCTGGGCTGCAGACACGTCAGGTGGGATGGAGATGCACCACAAATGGCTGCTGATGCTGTCACAAGCAATCTGAGGTGTGACACAGTGCCGTGGGATTCGCTGCGGTCGCTTTTGAAGTTTGTGGGCTGTCTGGTTTGGGTGTCTGTGGCTCAAATGGTGAATTCAGTTTTGCTTTTTCTTATGGTAGGTCTACCTGTTGCCTCCTTCTCATGGTTTTTGCCTTTTCTCTGATGATCCTCTGTGCTGTTCCAGCTCTCTTTAGCCAGCAGCTTTCTTCTTGGTCATCTCTGGCAGTTGTATCTCTAGGAGCTTTGGCTCTAGCAAACAGTCCCAGACAATTTCAGTGATTTGTAGTGTACTGCATTTCTCCACTGGCTGTGACTTTCTCATTGGGATGTGACAGCCTAACTGTTGACCTCAGTCCTGGTCTGTCCTTCATTTTGGGTCGCACCCTTCTCCTCACTGTAAGGTGTTTTGAAGAACAAGCTCACCACACTATTTTTATCCCTGTTCTATCCTGCCTGCTGCTGATCCAGAGCTGTGGGACAAATGCTGCAGGACCTTGTCACTTGGCAGTTGAACTGGAGCTGGGGATCAGCTGCCTTTAACCTACCCAGGATTTGTGTGCCCCGGTGGAAGATCTTTTGGTGAAAGGTGGAAGGCTGGCAGGTGAAGTGGGGGTCCCCTGATTCACATGATCTGCCTCACTGTAAAATGTCAGCAGCAGTTTGTCAGTGTTGATTGTCCCTTCTGGTGCTGTGTTCTCTCTTTATCTTACAAACAGAGCTGGGTAGGCCGACATTTCAGTGAACTTGCATTGTCTTATTTAGCGGAAAAGTTGCTATTTAGAGCACCAAATGAAAATGCTTTTAAAGAATATGGTGATATTATTTTGGCTTTTTAAATGTAATAATTGGAGATAATTTGCAGCATTATTTGAGCAAGGAAAATGGGCTCTTAAATCATACATGAAGCTGTACTAAGAGACAGGTTGCTGTCCATTCCATCAGAACATATCTGAGCACCTCTCTGAAAGCTGCTGAATTCAACAGCAAGTCTTTGCCTGAAGACTGTAATTCACAGCTCCTGTAAGAGGATTGTCCTACCCATTTTTTTTTTTTTAATCAGGCTAGATGATAGTCACATTCTCTTTGTATTCAGGTGCTCTCGTAGAGTGGAGCAGGAATGTCCAGTCTGAAAAGCTGCTGCACTGTCCTTCCCTTCTGCAATAACCCAATAACCTGCTACCAGCACGTGACAATGGCTGCAAATACCACATCCATAAGACTTAATGTGTGATTGTAATAAGGTGATTGTAGCTCTTCACTCAGTAGCTTCTCGATGAGCTCTGAAAGATCAGTTAGTTACTTGGGAGTGGCCTCATATCCAATTGTCCTGATGGTGATGAAGCTAGTCATTACTTCAGAGAACCAGAGGGATTTTTGTAATGAACCTATACACTTCTTGTTGGCATTTGATGTGCCTAACTTGGAAACTTGTTGCATAAGCAACTACTTCATTGTAATTTGTCCTTAATATCTCAAAAAGCTGAGAGGTGAAAACACCAGACTGTTACAAATGATAGTGTACGCTAATAGGCTACAACTCCTACAGTGCTTCTTTCCCCTGAAGCCATTGGCACTGTGTTAGTGTTAGTGGAGAAATGCTGCCATGGCCAATAAACTGAGTTTCCTAAGCAGGTTCTTGTTTTCCAAAGTGCAGTGTCCTGGCTGAGGTGAATGAGTACAGGAAACAGGTTTGACACAGCTCATGATCTTGAAAGGAAGCAGATTCTTGTGGCTTCCCAAGGCATGACGAAGAGAAGGATGAGAAATTTAATGCTGCTTTACATCACGAACAGGATGTGACACTTGCTTTAATTATACAAGTGTGCCCAGAGGCAGACTGGTACATCAGTGCATGTGGGTCCTTTTGCTTTTTACTGTTCTTAACTGTTTGTCTTTTATGATTTTTCAAGGAGGTAGTAAATTATAAAGAATGTAAGTACGAAGGCAGAGGGATGTCAGCTTACTCTAAAGCTTGTTCCATGCTGCATGGTATCTTTTGCACGTGTTGCAGTGTGCCCAAACAGATGGCACGTGGCACTCACTTTATTCTTTTTTGCATCCAGGTTCACTTCCCTGATGTTGAGCGAGTGGAGTGGCTGAACAAGGTGAGGAGCTCTGAACTCCAGTTTGAAGCCAGCTGCTCTGAGCTGCATCCCAGTGCAAACTCTGTGGGACAAGTCTGAGAAAGTTGTCAAGTCACTACAATACAGCTCAGTCCCATCAGTGTCTGTACTGAAGTATGGAGCCACTTAACTGTAGAGTTGCCACTGAGGTTTTGGTGAGAGCCATTGTGAGCCCAGTTGATACAAGTTTGATGAATTTGACAACAACATTCTGAGATTAAAAAACAAAAGCAAGTGTGTGAATGTGTGTGTACATAAATGTGCATTATATACATATGTGTGTATGTATTATTATTTTAGCAAAAGTAGTGGTATCTCCACTCACTAGAGGAGAGCTCTAAGGCATATGCTCCCATCAGCAGGTCTAGTTAACCTCTCACTGGAACTGAAAACTTGGTGGAATTCAAAGCAAAACATCCGAACTTGAAAATTAGAAGCCAGTGACCACCTTTTTCTTTTTTTTTTTTCTTTTTTTTTTTTCTTTTTGGCAAACTTTATTTTTGATATAAAAGCTCATCTCACTCCTCTCTAAATAAACCTAACTCCAGGAAACTTTGTGACATTTTAGAGCAATTAGGGATTACTGTGCTCTGGAGACTTAACCCTGAGCCTCGTTGGCTGCTGTGGTTAGAAGCAGTCGATGGACTGTATGGTGCTGATAATTCACCATTCAGTTCCTGAAACTAATTCCTGTTCTGAGGAACTGGGATGAGCCCTTCCATAAGGGTGATGTAAGTACACAATTGTGAGTTGGTATTTTAAAAGGACTGATATAAATAGCCAGGTGTTCTGTAATGGGTGTGAGTCTGTTTCTCAACGAAAGATATCTTATGTAGAGAATCTTTAGTGTGTTTCTGCTTTTGCTGTTCTGTAGGTCCTTGTCCAGGCTTGGCCGTACTTTGGAACAGTCATGGAAAAAACATTTAAAGAAGTTCTTGAGCCGAAAATCAGAGCAAAGCATGTACATCTGAAAACATGCACGTTTACCAAGATCCACTTCGGTGAGAAGGTAGCGTGAGTCCTTTGTAATGCTTGTGGTTCGCTCTCTTCTGAAAGTTTCAGGTGCAAGGGGAGTCTGATGTTCAACTCTTTAATAGCTTTGTTCCCTCATTGTGTTGACTTGACCATCTTCCCAGTGAAGGAAAGATCATACAGGAGAGACACAGGTCTATTCCCACTTGGTGTCAGTATCCTGGGACTGGACATAGAAAAAAAAGGACCATATCCATATTTCTTTCTGTCACACCCTTGCACAGGAGTTTTCAGTGCTTCCTAAGGCTTGCAGCATGGGCTACTTGCAACCAGCCCTGTATTTGAGGACTGCAAGGGCTGTTCCCTCTTTAAGGGAAAAAAAACTAGTGTGGTTTACTCATGCTTTATGTGCCATTTTGCAAAGGCTTTAATGAATGCATCTGTACTCAGATTGATCAAAGTGAATAGGACTTTTCACTTGGGCTTGATAGATATTAACTGTGTCATATCTTGTTTGTCTTTATTTCAGTGCCCTAGAATCAATGGAATAAAAGCCTACACCAAAGAAATCGGTAGAAGACAAGTTACCCTAGACCTGCAGATATGGTAACATTGCATCACTGATTATGTAGATGGTTCTTAAATCACTGACCATGTCACACCTGTATGTCATGCTGAACTGGACATATGGTCCACTAAGATCAACCTGAAGAGGTCCTTATCTTATATCAGCCTAAAGTGTTATGAGATAATCTACCTCCAGCTGGATGTCGTCAATACTTACAGAAGTGAAAGGCTGTGCATCAGCCTCTCAGTCAGAAAGCACCTGCACAGGTCTAGGTGTTACCTACTCTGGCCCATCACTGCTGCCATGGGTATAAGAATGTGTCCCTTGGCTTTGCAGCTGATGGTAGTAAGAACCTAAGTTTTGGAACTATATTGCCCGTTCTAAAAGCTCTCAGGTATAGAGGTGCTCAGTCTGTCTTGCCCCCTACGGGTTCTCATTAGTCCAACCTCTCCAGTTCTTCCAGAACTACTTGCACTATTTATTTTTTTAATTCCTTCCTCTGGTTTAATCTTCTGGTTTTACTCACCATTTGTTCTGTGTGCCACCCAACACATTTGCTTTTTTGATTACAGCTGTTCTCTGAGCAGAAAACTGCCTCTAGCTCTATCAACAGCAACAACAACAAAATTAGATAAAACATTTAATACCTCCCGGGCTGTTTTGAATGAGTTTGTCTGTTTTGTTAACATCAGAGCCATTGCAGAGCTAAATTCTCTCCTGGTTTAGCCTGGAGAATGTAATTACAGGAGGAATTACCAGGTGAATGCTGCTGTAGCTCTCTAAGTTTAGTGGGCGATTGAGCTGCCTAATTTTAAATGGCTTTTCGTGGTAGTGCCAGGAAAAAACAGTGTGAAATTATGGAGTGTCTTGGCAACAGCACAGAGGTCCTCAGAACTGTGCCTTCTGCTTAATGTGGCAGTGGCACAGCAGTATCCCCAGCCCTGGCAGAGCCCCATCGCTCCCTGTAAAACACGATTGATTTTCAGCCACGTGTTGTGCTTCAATTCTGGGAGCAAAGTACTTTTTGTAACAGCCAGGTCACTGTTAGGGCCTTTGGCAAATTGTTCATGCTCTCTCATGTTGAGAGTGAGATCTGATGCCTTTTAGGCTCTGCAGAACATTGCTGTTCTCTGCTAAACTTCTTCTCTAGGCTGCTTCTCTAATATACTAATTTTCACTGTCTTTTTAACAATCCTCTGCAGAGGGATTCCCCCATCTCCACATTCCTGTCCCTCTGGCAGACCCATCAGCATCTCCAAACTGTCCTTCTGTTCTGTTACTGATGATAACCTGACCTGAACTACCATCTGATGACCCAAATGTTTTCTGTATTCACACAGGAGTGTGCAGCCTGCCTTGTCTCTCTGATGGGGGTCTCTTCTCCAGGGCTGTGTTAAGGCCTCAGCTTCACTTGTGTTAACACATCAACATCAGTTTCTGCAGCTAAGCTGAGTTGTGTGTTGTGCAGTGTCCACAGGAGGTAGTGTGTTACTTCAGAAACATGAAGCAAATCAATGAGCAGTGGTGCTGTTTACCTGCCTTTTCTTAGATTACCAAAGGAACAAGATTTTTTTCTGCTACTTAGAGGAGATGGAGTTGAGCTGCCCCAGTGTGAGGCTGTTGCCCTTCACCCTCTCAGTGAGGTGAGGTTTAAATGACTGTCTGTCCACAGAGCTGCATTCTGGTATCACAGCTCTGGAGGAGAGTGAGGTGCTGTGGGTGCCCATGTGGCACACTGGGCAGTGCTGGTACCACAGTGACCTTCCTCTCTTGGGTTAGGTTTTAGAGAAGTGTAGCTGTGTCGCAGTGGACATTAAAGGATTAACATGTCTGCATGTTATGAACATGACTCCTTTCCCTTGGTGCTTGCTTACTGTAATTTGTGGGAGTTCCCTCACTGGTGAACCCACGTGAGTGTGACCTTTGGCTGGGTCACCACTGTGTGCAGCACTGACCAGGGCAGCTGCAGCAAGGGAGGCTGAGCAGTCACTTCACACAGGATGCTGTTACCCTGGAGTTCAGCTGCCTTGGCAGCAGCTCTAACCCACTACGGTGCTGAGTTTCTGATGTCTTGCATCCAGAAATACTATCATACTCTGTAAATGCTTTTTGCTCTCAGTCTCAGAGGAGGAGGGAATTTTTTTTTTCCTCCAGTTTTATCAAGGAGGTAACGAAGCTTCAAGGAGTTACTGAAGCCCAGAGTCTTTGACTTGACATGGGGAAAACACAGAAAAAGGGCAGGACTAGAAAAAAACTTTCCTTCTTAGCCTTCCTTTTTGGTTTGTATGGAACAATTTGTGTAGTTTTAATAGCCCCTTGTACATGTGGTTCATCAAGGCCTTTGTTTAATCTGTGCTTTTGACCTCTACAACATGATCCAGTGCTGAATGCTGGGGTTCAGTTCTGTGCCATGAGAAGAGGAGCTTGCTTTTCTCTGTTTTAAATTTGCAGTGTGGTATCACAAATTGAACCCTTTGCTTGGGAAGTGTGAAAAATAGCACCTAAAGGTCCCTTACGTATGGGCAGTAGCTGCCAGCAGAGCCAGGGTAGGTCTGGTAGGTCTGATATTGCATGGAGTTACCAAAAGAGCTTGAGAGGCTGCTTAATTAAATGTGTTAACAACAGTTTATACAGTTGTACATCAGGAATGGTTATGTAGATGACCATCTTATTGCAGTCTTGACTGTTCCACTCAAAAGGACTATGCTTGAGTTTTTGGCAGGAAAACCAAGGCTCAGAGGTGATTACACAGAGGTGAGGCACACAGATCTTTTGGCAAAGGCAAGAAAGGAGGCTGCAGGTCTTCTTTCAAAAACTTCTTCTCTGTCCCTGAGATGATACACTCGATTGCTGTAAATTAAGCTATATAAATTTTGTTACAGCTTATAGGACTGAACAGGAATGTTGTGGTAACCACTGCTTACCTGCAGGTGTTTGTACAAAAGTTGGTCATTTACCTGTCTGAAGGTCCTGGTGTCTGTACTCTGTACATGTACCTGTTTTCCACTGAAGCTTTCATGTAACACATAAGAAAGTATCAGAGTTCTTGCAGTGACTAAATGAGGTATGATATCCCTGCCAGACTGGGATTTGAAATCCCCAAATCTGAAATATGAGATCCCAGCTGGAAATAAAGTGGCAATGCTCTGGGATCTCCAAACAATTTACCCGAGATCTAAGTCATAAATCTGGTGTCCCCTGAGCTTAGGGAGCTGGCAGTTGCATTCTCCAAATAAATTGATGTCAGAGCATTCCAGAAATGTTCTCAAAAGTTCATTTTCCAAAATGAGAATTTTGCAAGTGCAACCACTTGACTTCCTACAGCTGCTTTTCTTCCCACTTTCTGCAGTTGCCTGAGCTGCTGCATAGCCATATAATCATTGGATATAATCTTGGAGTTTCAAAGTATTTGATATTTTCAAGTACTATCTTGAAATACACTTTCTTCCTATTCCATTAATATGATTTGACTCATAATCATTTTGCATTGAAAATGTGCTGAATTTTCTTTTCCATCATTTTCTGTGGCATTTACAGCACATGAGAAGTCATAGAAGAATAGTACAATAATTAATATATATAAAAATGTATTCATTGCAATTTACTCTCTCTGGACTTCCTAACTGTGGCAAGTTTTCAAAGCTGGAAAGACAGTCTGCCTGGAGAAAGAAGTCAAAAGAAGTGTGCAACAATACTTTGAGCTTTAGTGGAGTTTGGGCTAAGTAAGCTTGTAGGCTCTTACAGGAAAATAAAAGCTTTTTGAAAACTGGTCAGTGTCCAGCAGCAAAGGAGTCTGACTGGATAGGGAAAGACGAAAGGTAGAGGTGGTCTGTTTTTTCTCATACCATGTGATGCCTGGTCACATTTTCTTGCCTCTCCTATTTGCGTAATACTGCATTTTCATCTCCCAAGTCCACTGGCAGACCAGGCACAGTCTGTGTTACAAAGCACATGAGAATGCTGGGCCAAAGGGGGCTTTTAGCATGGAGGACCGTGAGAAGGTGTGGCCCGTGGCCAGTTGTCTTATTCAACTTGCCTTTTCTAAAGAGATATACAGACATCCACATTAGTTCAATTTGTCAGCATGTGCTCTTATAGCAACCCTGCCTTCAGCCAGTAGATTGCCATCAGGTCATAAGCACCAGGCACAGCTTTTCCATCCAAATACAGAAGAGATACAGGTACGTGCACCTGGACAAGCTGCTCATCCACAGCACAGGCCTATCTGCATCACCTTGTGCAGCAGGTGATTCAGGAGAGAAAGGGGTGGTTATTCCACCCTTCACAGGTGGGTAAAGCATGGTCCTGTGTAGGGTGGAGGGCCTTAACCCTATATACTTTGAAGTGTCAAGACCTGAGTTTGGCTCAGGTGTGCTCTCTCTGGGCAGGACAGCAGAGAGCTCAGCAAGGGTACACTGAGCGGAGGAGCAGATGGAAACACGAACAGCTGGGACTGGAAATGAGGAATAAAACTAATTAAAAGAGTACATCCTTCATACTAAGCACCCTGGTGTGGGGGTGATGCCTGTATGAGGTTGATTTAAGGATAATTAAAGGCTCAGGCTCTGTTAAGACTTCTCCAGCACCCAGACTCTAAAACGTGGTGGCAGCTATCGGAGTGTCACTGGGGAAAAGAGACATCAAGGACTGGGTAGGAAGAGTTTTTGACTGCATGGAAAGGCATAAAGGCTGTAAATTGAAACACTGCACTTCTTGTTGTGTTGACACTAGCAGCAGCTGAATTAAATCCTCTTGGATTAATTACTGCAAATTGAGGGACTCATTTTGTCTTCTCATTTAGAATTTTATTGTAACAATGCCCTTTTAGCACCCAGTGTAATGAGCTGAAAGATAATGTCAAACTGTAGAAGTTAACAAATGTAAAATAAGTTTATTTATGTGAGTAGGTTTTAAGAAAGACTGTGTTAATCTTGGCATGGCTTGTGAGGTTGGTTATTTAAGAAATGAGAATGCTCTAACATTAAAGGCTTTAATCTCTGTTATGTGCTCTTAAAATTCTGTTAAGTGACTGTCTGTAAACAAATATACAAAGAACTTTGCTTGCAAAAATGAGGACAAATTCACAGGGTTGCACATTCTTGGCAGGTTTTTTTTGGGTGGGAGGGAATCTATGTGCAAATTACAGCTTGAATTTGTGGCAACGGCAGCACTACTTACCTGTATAGTTGTGGTCAGAGCAGAAATCTTGTCCTTTTCCTTTGATTATGGGGTGAAATTATGCATGCAGGAGGCAAGCACAGCACATTCACTGTACTGCTGTACCTTTACACCCTGCTTTTTACCTGAGAGTGTTTGTGTCTGCAGCCAGAGCTATTTCTCAGAGGGCTGAAAGGGAACTTGGTAGCTCCCTTCAGTTGTTTTCTGCCAGAGGCATCAACAGCTCTGCTATGTTCTTCTCCCTGGGGAGTGGCTATCAGTTTCTGCATAAGGTGATGTTTGTACTTTTATTAAAGTCTCTGGTGGTTTCCAAATTACCAAAGTACCGCATTCGGCATTTGCTTTATTTAAAGCCTGATGTTCTCCATAGCAACTGACCAAAATCTGATCTAAGTCTTTGTCTTTGAATTCAGCCTCAAGGAAACCAGGTTATTTTTAGTGAGAAGTTTGTCCTTCAAGTGGATTTTTGGGTTGTGGGTGAGGGTGATCTATGGGCGTTTTGGGTGTGGGCAAGGTGGGAAAGCCATAAGTAATAGCGGGACAGCTCTGCACCTGGGAGCTGGGTCACCACGTTGTGGGGTGGGGTTGGGCCTTTGGCAGAGAAGGGTGCAAGAGGGCAATTGGTTTGAACTGAATTTTGAATGAGCCTGTTGATCCCCTCCTTGCAGCAAGCTCACCTCAGCCAACCACCAGTCTTAAGATTAGAAAAGTAACCTTGAAATACAGATGTTTGATGCTTTGACGTTTTACAGGTAGATCAGTATCCCAGCTGACTGCAGGGATTCTCTTGTGCAGATCTGACCCTTGTTCAGCTTTCCCTTTTCAGTCACTTGAAAATCCATCTCTGCCTGGAGGGGGGGGTTATGTTGTCAATCCTTAAACTGATTTCATTTATACTTCTCACAGCCCCAGATTTCTCATGGAACTATTGCAAACTGTGGAATAATGTGAGAATTTTCTTTCAGTTACATAGGAGACTGTGAGATTCACATGGACATATCGAAATTTAATCTTGGCGTGAAAGGTGTGCAGGTACGTGCCGTGCTGACGTCTGTTCAGGGCTGTGTGGGGCAGGAGGCAGCACATCCCGGTGGGGAGGTCATGGCGCTTAACTGGGAAATCATCAGCTATTCAGCTTGGAACTGTTGGCTTTATCTCTTTGTGTTCTGGACGGGGAAATGGTGCCTTCCATGGAAAGCAATTAAATACCCCTTCTAAGCTTTGTAGTGTGACTCTTAAACTGGGTCAGTGCTAGAGCATCGAGTTTGTGTGGGGCACCTTTTGCCATTGGAGTTCAGAGGAGCTGCATGCTGGTGGAGAACTTCAGAAGAACCAGGACATTCATAAACTGGTGCAGATTAAACCAGCAACCTGTTCTTACAATGTTGAAAGCCAGTAGACTGAGCACTCCATTGAATGGCAGGATTGCAAAGAGACCACAAACATAGCAACGATTGTCTTGTACCAATACAAGGATTGTCTTGTACCAATACCAGTGGTTTGGTGGGAGGAGGTTATTGTTTTTATTAAATTATAAATAAAATTGGCTTCAAGCAGGATTTTAAAATTACATCCATCATTGAAAAGCTCACAATTTTGAAACTGCTTCTTGAGAATACCTTAAAACTCAGCTTTCCTTGATCTGTTCTGTTTGCAGTTGTATGGGACGTTGCGGGTGATCCTGGAACCTCTTCTAACTGATGCACCTTTTGTTGGAGCAGTGACCTTGTTTTTCATGCAGAAACCGGTGAGTCAGTAGTGAACTGCTCTCTGCAGCCTTCTTACTTCGTGGTCTGTCTCAGTGCTTGTTCAGGTCTTCAGTGAGTGACATGAGCTGTCCCTCACTGGTAACCCAAACTGCGTAACTGCGAATGCCTCGTGGTGCAGGTGCTTGAATAATAAATGCCTCATTGTTCAGTGCTCCTCTTGAACTCCAGGTAGACCTGAGTTAGTTTGCCCTACAGTTTTGTAGTAGTGCCTAAAAAGTTACCTCCTTCACTCTCAGAATGGGAGTGCTGTCACTCTTCTTGTGACAGCACCGTTTCCTAGGCCTTTGCTGCGAGGTTCCTGGCTGGTGGATATTCCCATTCATAGATTTTTAAATGCAGTCATCTTGGAGACCTTTCAACCATGGTTGCCTTTTGAAAGCTTGCCTGTTTAAGGTCATGTGCCTTGTAGTGAATTGTAGTTTAATAAAATAGGAGAAACCTTCCAGTCTTGTAAGGACCAGTTAGTTAAGGCTCACAGCTTTGCTTGTGGGTCATGCTCTGCTTGGAGTTCATGGGAGTCATACATTTTTGATCTTGGATGAAGTGTTCTCGTGTTTAGATTTAGCAGCACTATTTCAGCACATGAAAAAACCCTGCTTTTTGTTTACTGTAAGAGTAGGGATACAGACAACCCCCTGCCTCAGGGCATAGACCAACCTTTAAGTGAAAGGATGAGGAAACAACTTCAAAGTCTAGGTAGAGTTGTTGAATTTCCTTCATGACCCCCAGGCATCTGCCAGTGCCCAGTTGCTAAGGGCTGAATGCTGTTTTTCTTGTGCTTGCAGGTCAAGTCCCAGTGATACCCTCATTTCAGGATGGTAGATAAAATAGATAAGGGAATTGATACCAGCTGTTGGTTTTAATGTACAGATGCAGTCTGGTGCAGTCTAGTGCAGGTTTTCCTTTCTTTAAACAGCTGGCTTTGTTTTAGAATAATTTCCTCTTTAAATTCTACATTTGTTTTGAAATAAATTCTAATAATCCTGTGTAATTTTTTTCCTCCCTGATCTTGTTGTAGCATTTGGAAATCAACTGGGCAGGCATGAGCAACCTCCTGGATGTCCCAGGGATTAAGTGAGTGTCTGCTTTGCTTTGTTCATATTCAAAAAGCCTTTAGAAATTGGGTCTTCAGTAATCATCAAAGCTGTTCTCAAGAACATGGTGTAAAAGGTTGTGTTGTGTGCACTGTGCTGGACGCTCCTCCCATAGTATGTGGCTGTGGAGTTTGCAAAACCTGAAGAGGATGCTTTTTACATTCTGTCAAAATTGCTTCAAGCGCTTCATTGCATTTGGGATGGAAAGAGTAAATCCCTCAAACGACAGGGATTTAATGATGAGATATAGTTGCAGTCCCCCTGACAAACTGAAATACAATCCATGATAAGGAAAAATGGTACATGAACTTATTATGTACCTATTGTCCATAATTGTCCATAATTGTACAATTGTACATATGTACAATAATGTACCATTATAATTTTCCCCTTATAAATCTGTATCAGATTTATAAGGGGAAATGTTCTCTCTTCATGTAATCTGCTCACCCTTTAGGTTATTCAGAAAACGTAGCTCTTCCCCAATGCCTCCTGGGTTGGTGTTGCACATAAAACTGGCATAGCAAGGATGAAAATCTTAGTGGCTTTCAGTACTGTAAGTCTCAAACTGTTTCTCCAGATTGGGAATTAACTTTGTCTTTGTTCCTTAGTGTAAGGAGAAAATTCTGTTACATAAAATCAAATATTTGGTTACTCAGCCTTTGCCTTTCTCCCTTCCAATGCAAATGCAGTCATTTCTGTTCCCCACTGTTCTCCTGCAGTTCATAGTTTGCAGATTCACAGGAAGTGTCTGGCTAATTTAGGTGCCAGTTTATGCATTAAAGGGCCTCTGAAGACTTTTGATGTTGAGTGAGAGGAAGCTTTCTTTTTCTCTTAATGTGAGGCCAGAGTGGCCTTTTGCCCTGAAGTTTGGCCTGAGAGCTCCAGATTTTATCAGAGGAATTAATCTGTTATTTTCTAACTTAGTTTCCCTAATCCTTGCAGGGAGAAATTATGTAGGTGTTCCAACCTACAGCCTCCCATATAATTAAGTGCAAATTTGGTGTCCTAAATTTTCACTCCCTGGTTCTCTCACAGGGATTTGAACACAGAAATCTTTGCTTGTTCATGAGCGTTGCAACGAGAGCTGGGAGCAAAACTTGCCTGGCCATGAAGGGGCTGAAGTACAGGTTTAACAAGAGCCCTCCCTTTCAAATGGATTGGGCTTACTTAAGAGAGAGAAGAAACTGGACGCAGTTGTCTGTCCTCACGTACAAGCTCTGTTTAGTTGGGTGCACCCTTGAAGACTCGAGAGAAGGGACAATTATGTGACATTGCTGTGGGGTTTTTTTTACAGGAAAACCAGCAGCCTGACCAAGGCTCCTGGTTTAACATTTAGAGTAGGAAACTATTTTCCTTATGTGTGAATCCATCCTCCTCTGTGGACTGTGGTACATTTGTTATACAGTCTTACCCTGATAAGCTGCCTTATAAGCACTAGATTTATGAAGAAGGTGAAAGTCTTTCAGATGCTTGGTGCTCTTGGGTTTTCCTCTTAATATTGCCTTTTGCTCATGACAACTTGTAGTGGTATGTTGAAATCCTCTCATTAATCAAGTGCAGAGTACCGGACATCTGTGATTTGCCATATATTTCTCAATCAGGAAAAACAGTCCAAATTAGTTTTTCCCTGCCATACAAAGAGAGCAACTGTAAAAAAAAGATTTAAAATTAGAAGCTAAAAATGTGTAAGTTGTATTTAGGCCAGAAGGTTCCCTGAACTCCAAGACAGTACCCTCAGTTCAGCCAATCTGATTTCCTGTTACTTAAACCAAGATTTTCCTTCTTAGCACAAAATATTCCAAGATACAGAATTTTGTCTTTCGCTTGGTCTTCTATTAAACTAAATGAGCTTGGGGCTTTTGTTTATTTGGGGATGCGTGGGGATTTTTTGTTTGGGTTTTTTTTGTTTGTTTGCATTTTTTTGTTTTGGATTTTTTTTACATGTCTGGCTTCTATTTCCGTTTTACAGTAAGGTGTCAGCATGTGACCAAGAGCAGGCAGCAGTGTGCACTCAGGCATGTTCCAAATCTATAAAAACAAACTACCTCAAGGCCTTGAGCCCCTTGAGAAATGGTGAAAATTCCTGATTGCCTCCTCACCTTGCCCACCCCAGAAGGCACAGGAGTTTGCCTTGTTTGGGTGTGTGCATGATGTCACACAGCCTGAGCTCCCATTCGTCATTTACAACCTGCTAGAGACAAATTCACAATCAGCAATAGGGGTGCTCCTTAATGCACACTTGCATCACTGAATTGAAGTTGAATAGCCACTCTGTAACTCTTTTGTAGAATCATTTAGGTTGGAAAAGACTTTTAAAGATCATCAAGTCCGATCATTAACCTAACACTGCCGAGCCCACCACTAAACCAGGTGCTTAAAAGCACTGCTTTTACAGGTCTTTTTAACACTTCCAGGGATGGTGACTCAACTGCTTCCCTGGATGTTCTATTGCCTGACACCCTTTGGGGGATTGTGGGCAGTATCTGCACACTTTGCAGTGCCCAACTTCTTTTGCTGTGCCTCATTCTTTCCCTCTAACCCAGTTGTGATAGACTGTAGAAACTTAAGGTTGCCTTTTTCCCCCACCTGCAGCGTAGTGTCAGACTCGTTAATTCAAGACTTCATTGCTTCGCGGCTGGTTCTGCCGAACAGGATCACAGTGCCCCTGAAAAAGAACATGAACATTGCCCACTTGAGGTTCCCTATTCCCCAGGTGAGTTGTTTTTTTCAGTGAGAGTGTTTATCTTCCTGAGGGTGCATTTGCCACCACGTGGGTGCTTGCAAGCTTAGTGACTTGGAATTCTGCATCAGCTCTTTCAACCAGAATTATAGGGGTTTTGTAGGTGATATTTCAGAAATATAACAGTAGATGTTGGATAGGTCATAATTTGGGAGGGAGAAACACAGACACTGGGGGTTCCTAGTCTCTCTATATGGCATAAGGAGTCTGTTTAGACTCTGAGCTCATTTACCAATTGAACCTTTAGTTTCTAATTGAAGATCTATGGTATACTCAAATGAGAGGATACATACAAGAGCAATGAATGTCAAACTATTTAATATTTTTACTAATGCTGTGAAAGGTTGTAAATAGGGAACTTGGAGGGTGACATCTCTTTTTTTACAGAAAAAAAAAAAAGGGAAAAAAAAACCAAGAAAAAAATCTCCTAAATACTTGACATATCCAGGTCTTCAATCTCCTTCATCCATCCAATACCTAATAATCTTATTAATGAGGATAAATATAAATGATTGGCAAAAGGATGCTCCCTATTGCAAACTTGCATCACCAAACTGAAGCTGAATGGCAGGCACTGTGCAATAAAATAAGTCCCTGGCAATGGGTGCTTAGTTCCTTCTAAATCACTGGGAATTGATCCTTACACTTGATTTGACTGTGGCTGTAATGCTATGAGCATATGTATGCTTCTGATTTAAAAATAAATTGAATATTATTTCCTACACAGTTATCTAGATTGCCTTGTGCTTCTGCTTAAGGGTTTTTTCCCCTCTAGGTAAATGGTGGGGAAAGTGTTTTAATACAGCTGTCACTGGAAATGTACTGCATCAAACTATGTTTCATTGCAGAACTGTCACAGTGACTGCCCTTGCTGCCTGAAATAACTCGTTTTAGGAGGCAGCATATTATAATTATCCAAAGATTGCATTTTCATGACCAATTCTGTATCTTATTTTATTCAGGGGGTAATAAGGGTTCATCTGCTAGAAGCTGAAAACCTTGTCCAGAAAGACAGTTTCCTTGGTGCAATCAGGGGGAAGTCTGATCCGTACGCTCTCCTTCGCGTTGGCACGGTGCAGTATCGAAGCAAGACAGTTTCCCGAGATCTTAATCCCATTTGGAACGAGACATTTGAGGTACTGAATCTTTTGATCTCTCCATCTGTAGGATACACAGCTATTTACATCCCTGTGCTTGGAGGACCTTCTCGTAATCTGACCCCACGAGAGCGGGTGGGCTTCCTTGTTACTTGGTTGAGGCATTTCTGTCCCTTAAGCAAGTTCAGATTTACATTGTAAACTTGAAATGTCATTCAGGTTGATCTGATTTACATGTGTGGGTTTTTGGAGGAGGTGCAAAGCCCTGCTTTAAATATCAATCAGTGCAACTGTAGGCCGCCCTAGCATTAGTTCCTCTCCATTTATTAGGTATACCAGTTTGAGGAGTTTAACTTGTAGTTCAAAAACAAGCAAACTGAATTTGAAATATTTTTACCTATAATCAATTGTATTTGCTACACAATTAGCCATGAAAGAGTAGAGAATGTCCTTTTTGTGCTATACAGCTGTGAAGTGTCATGTTCTTGTCCACAGCTTTTTGGTTTTAATCAATACCTCTTTCTCCTCCAGTTTGTTGTTCATGAAGTGCCTGGTCAGGACTTAGAAGTGGACTTGTATGATGAAGATCCAGATAAAGATGACTTTATGGGCAGGTAAATTAACATAACCTTTGCTCAGGGTTTAGTAGCTTCTGCTACAGGACACCTGGATTAGTATACTGGCAATTTAATATCATTGGAAGCCATTCCCTTTGCCCAGATACTGATACCAAGTTATTAGTTTGTAGTGCAACTAACTTGGAGCAAGATAGAGAGTGGCCCACACTCCTGCAGGGAGTCCTGCGAAGCCATTAGGAGTGATAGTTACTATGTGACTTGAGATTTAACTATTTCAAGGGGGAGGTTTCAGAAGTGTGAGTGCATTCTGGTGCATTCCTCCACATAGGCAATGGGGAGAAGTTGTTTGGAGCAGACTTGAGTGTGGGCTTTTTTGTGGTGGTTTCTTTTCTCCCCAACAGCAGTATGCTGTGTGCTTCAATATATAGTGAAATCTTTGCTTTTTGCCTTTCAGCTTGCTTATAGGCCTAGTGGATGTAATGAATGACAGAACTGTTGATGAGGTAAAGATCACAGCTTATTTCTAAATGTGTTGGTGGTGTATGCTTACACGTGCTCATTTGTGCTCCCCCTCTGCTACTGCAGTATTTCTGTGTGCTTAAAGCTACTTTGCACACTTGCACAGTGGTTTTTTCACAAAAATAAAATACCTTCACTCAGAAAACCTACAAAGTAGCCATTACGATAATTTTTACAACCAAGGTGGTAACCCCAGACAGCACCGAAGTTACCCTGAGCCAGCAGTGGGGTATCTTGTGTTTATATTTTGTGTCCCGTGTGTAGCAAATGTTTTGTACAAGGCTGTAGATAAGGTTTGGTGAAGCAGTCTGTTTGCTGAGGGGAGAAATGATCTGATCTTAGGGTGGTTCATCCTGCAACCCAGCACTCTGCAAATAGTGTCAGGGTGCCTGTCTTGTGCTGCTGCTGGTTGGAAATATCCGAGTGCTTTGCCTGTATATGGGTATCTTATTTTCATTTTTCTGGCTTGTGTTTGTAAGTGGACGGATGTGTTACAATCTCAGCATCAAAAGTGCAGGCTAAAGCACTCAGAGTGCAATTCATGTTGTCTAATGTACATTCAGAACTGCCACACACATATAAAAATTTTTCTGCCTCACAGTTCTCAAGTTACCCTTTGTTGTCTCCATTTAGTGGTTTCCCTTGAGTAAGACAACAAGCGGACACTTGCATTTAAAACTGGAGTGGCTTTCACTGGTAAATGACCAAGAAAAGCTACATGAGGTGAGTATATTTGCTTAAAGGATTCAGGTACTCTGATCCCTGTCCAGTGATCAACAAAGGAGTGTGTAAAATTAGGAACCCCAGGCAAACTTATGGGAGTTTATTTTTGTCTGGCAAAGTTTTGATGTGATTCCCTCCCTGCCACTCCTACAGAGGGAAGGGCATTTGCTTGCCCCAGGACCCTTGGCAATTCAGGAGTAACTCAAATCTGGCAGCTCTTTTTGCTTGAATTGGCAAACCTTTGTTTGACTCACTGCAAAACAGCTTTTCACAGGTCCTTTCTTTGAGAGTTTTTCTCCTCCCTCTTCATCTAGGATCTGTGTAGGACCTCAGGCCCCTGAAATAACCTGTATTAGTCATAGACAAATACCCAGAACTGGTGCTTGGTAGGGCCACGTTTCCAAATTGTTGCTTGTCCAGTAGAACTGCTTGGATAAAGCCCATCCCCCAGGGATGCTGTTTCTTCAAAACCAACCAAAACCATTGGAGTTCCACTGAAGTGAATAAAATTGTTTCCAAGCTTTGTTCTCCTGATCCTGGATTGATGCTGAAATAAGTGGTTGAGCATGTTTTCAGGTTTTTCTTGCTGCACTGGGGAACCCAACCAGTTCTGCACTGAGGGACTGACGAGCATTAAGGCCAGTGAACTGAAGAGATTACACATCTTACTGGTCTGCTTAGAACTGTCACGCTGTGTTGGCTTCTGCTCCCCTAAATTGCAAGTTTTAGGAGAAAGGCAGAGAGCTGCTTAGCCTTCAGAAACTGCCCTTTGAATTTTGTTATCTTTTACGTTGTCCTTGGTGGGTGATCATGCCTACCTTGTGTTTTGTTTTGGCTTATCTTTCCCGGCCTTTGCAGGATAAGAAGGGTCTGTCTACAGCAATTCTGATAGTCTACTTGGACAGCGCCTTCAACCTTCCAGTAAGTACAAACCACATGCAGCAGCCTTCATTCCTGACCTTCTCTTTTTAAGACCACAAACTAATTATTTTAAATACTCTTTTACTAATTCAGAAAAACCACTTTGAGTATTCGAATGGTGAATGTGGAGCAAAGAAGATCAAAAATAACAAGTACCTCAAGGTAAATTTTATGTTTTTCTCCCTTGCTTGCAAAACAGTGTTCTGGATTATGGGGCACTGTAGCAACGGAAACTGGCTGTGGTTAAAGAAAATGAACCTTTCCACTGCCAGAATCTAAGTGAGGGGGTTCAAAATAGTCATTGAAAGCCCACCCCTGCCCCAGTGAAAGTCTAGGAGATCCAAGTGAGAATGCAACACAGAAATTTTTGATTATGTGTGTGGCTGTCTATACTTTTATGCTTTGGACAGAGAGTCTGCAGACATTAGATTAGGTCATGATAACCTTTCTGCTGTTGCAAAGATTCTTCGTATGCTGAGCTGTTCCAGTTTGACATTGGGGTGGGAGAAATATGCTTGTTTGTGGTAACCTTCCTGTTCACTGGAGACCTGACCACCAAATTCCTCCCCCCTTGGTTTCAGAGGGATTCAGAAGCCCCTGTCATTCCTGCCTCCTCTCTCATAGCTTCTGTTTACTTTTCCCCCAAATACTGTATTTTGCTACTGTGATGTAAATGGTGGGTATAGGGAAGAATGTCTTTCTCCCTTTTTTCTTGAACAAGTTACACACAGTCACAGCTCTGAGCTATGGATAAAGTTTCCCATTCTATCCAAGTCACTCCTCTCCTAAGTACCATTTTTACAACTGAGTTGAGTTACTAGGACTTAATGCTGAACTTCATTGTGAGTGCTTTGTATACAATGTTGTGCTAAAACCACTTCCTCAGCCTTGACTTCTGTAGCATTAGTGTAGAGAAGCACAGTACAAGAGGTTCAGTATTGTTGCTTCTGGAAAGGAATTGTTACTTGATGCCAAAGACTTGCTTCTATCTGCAAGTTCTGAGCCTTGGAAACCAATTCTGAAAGTCCTGTTTCATTCATGAATGATGAAGACTTCCCACTGAACCTTCAGCTTTCTTCTCTGTTTCCTCTCAGCTTCTGACAATTTTTTTTAGCTACTCAACTATTGAAACCTAAGTAAATAGAACATTGGCTTAAATGTGTACTCTGGATGGTAAAGACTGTGCTGTGTTATGGTTGGAGGCTTTCCTGTGAACTACACTTTTCAGATGTCCTACATCTGAAAAATATTGTCAAGTAACAGTAGTGGTGTGATGTTGCTCTCTGCAAACTATAAATTTCTCACTTTTTTTTCTGATTTCTTTTTTCCTTATATTAAATGACAGAAGATGGAACGAGAGCCTTCCTCGTTTGTCCTGCTTACAGTTGGAAACAAGACTCAGAAGAGCAAGGTGACACTGTTTTAACTGTTTTGCTTTCCTTAAATACTCTCTATCTTATAGGTGACTATTTCCAAGTAGCTTCTAGGAAGGGAAGGACTTCTTGTGAAGCTGATGGGAAGAGCTGTAGTTGAGGTGATAGCTGCAGAGCCTGGGAGGTGGGGGTCAGTCAGCACATGGAGCCACTGCATCACTGATTTGTGGTGGTTAGTGGTTGTCTGATCAGCTGCTGTACAGATGTGTGGCTTTGTGCTCATTGCCACGAGGTCACATTGGTCAAGGCACTCTAGTTCCATAAGGGTTGAAGAGGAAAAAATGATTGGTCTCAAACCTGGCTCATGCTTTCTCAGAGCAGGGGGTCATTTGCGTCAACCTGGCCTTTAATTCCCCATCAGAGTCTTTCCTGGCTCCTGTGTATTACAGTTTTACTGGGTTTATTTTTTTTTTTCTTTTAGCTGTACCAGATGTATCTGGATCTCTTCCACTTCCTTTTCAGTTCCTTTTTCATTATTTAAAAATTACTTTTGCCTGATGAGTACAAGCAGCAGCTGAGCTCTGCCCTCCCAGTAGCTGCCGTGTTCACTGTCCTGCAGCTGGATGCAGATGAGGGCAGCCCTGTGTTCTTTTGGACACCAAACAAATAGGAATGAATCCTCTTGGCTACACATGGGTGTATAGGACTGACACTTGTTTGCCTTTGTTTCTTCCACCTGCTCCACCCAGGAATTGGGTTCTGCTTGCATTTTTACCTTTTTTGGCTTTCCCTCTCCCTACCACATCACTTGCCTCTCCTAAGCTAGGTAAGACTTCCAGCCTTTCCCTGCTCCAGCAGTTGTGGCCTGGCAGAGACAGCTGGTTTAGGGAGCAGCCACAGCCCCCACAGGTGCTTTTCATGCTCTTTCATCCGTGAAGTGGATGGTACTGAAGCTGTGCCATCCTACTCTTCCCACAAGATCTACACCCATGAAAGTGCCCCTCTAGCTTCCCTACCCTTCTTCCCTGTCAGCTCACTGTGGCTTTGGGAGCTGGCTCTGGGTGCCTGCAGGCTGGAAGCAGCACTCTGGCTCTCCCTGGGTGGAGAGGTGGGAGGGAGGGAGCAGTGCCTTGCTGCAGGTGAGGCAGGTTGCTGGTCCAGGCAGCGCTGGCTGGGGCCAACTGCAGCTCACCAGACTTGTTCTTTGGCATTTCTACATCCCACAGAACTTGTTCTGGTTTTGCTGGAGACTTTGCTTACGCATGCTTTTGACCTGGAATTTTCACTCTCTCCACACAGCTGGGGTGTAGCATCACTGGATAAAATAAAGAAGGTCACCGTGCCCCTCTCTGGTGATCAGTGTCACGAATTCTGTGCTGCTCACAGAACAAGCTAATGTGTGTGCCACGATCTTCTTGTTGCAGACCTGCAATTTCAGCAAAGATCCCACGTGGGGCCAGGCTTTCACCTTCTTTGTCCACAGTGCTCATTCCCAGTCACTCCATGTTGAGGTGAGAGAAAAGCCTTTCCTTTGAAGACCAACTGCACATCTGCAGGAAGAAACCTTTTTTATAGAGCTCAATGCTGTTTTTTTCTGCGTGGGATTGTCTTGTACTGGGTTCCTCCTACTTAAAAGGTAGAAGAAGCACCTGTTGTTGCACAGGTGATTCTCTGTTAAGTGGTAACTGGTACCTGCCTTTGTTCTAGGATCATGTAGCATAACATCTGAGTTTAAAATGTGGGATATTTCTGGCTGCAAAGTGTAAAGGAATTTTTATAGGTGTCAGTGTGTAGTAAAGACATCACTATTTTGCTGTCAGAAATTGCAGCCTTCATAATTCCCAAGCAGAGCCCTACCTCTTCACCTCAGTGTTCTGGCTTGTTAAGCAGTTCTGTCTCTCACCAGCAACATCTCAGTCACAGCCAGTTCTAGGGTTGGTCACTTGGATATTGTAGAATTGAACATTGAAGGTGTATTGAGGTTAATTAGGCTAAAAATTTTCTAAAGAACTTGTAAAGGTTTAGACCACTTGCCATCCCAGTTGCCTGGGATTTTCTCCCTGAAGCAAGTCCAGTAAATCCCAGGGCCTGGTTTTTCTGCTAAGGCAGTTCCTTCTCTGCGTAGTTAGAAATGGGATTTTTACTCCAAACATACTAATTTGTTACGCCCCTGAAACGCTGGTATCACCCACTTGGAAGTAACCACACTTAAGTCCAGAAGTAAATAAGCTAATTTCTGTTTCTATCTGAAATACCTTCTTGTTTGCTTCCCAGGTGTCCATCTAGTAAAAACTTTTCTTTCCCTTTTCCCCCCCCTCTAGATAAAAGACAAGGAGCGGGATAGTGCCCTGGGAACTTCAGTGTTATGTCTGTCCCGCTTACTTGAAGACCCAAACATGACTCTGGATCAGAGATTCCAGCTGGACCATTCCAGTTCAGACAGTTTTATTCAGATGAAACTTGTGTTGCGGGTATGCAGTTCTTTCCCATATTCATTTGGCTTTCCTAGTGGAAGCATCCAATTCTAACCAGTCAAGAGAGATGAAAGATGACTGTGGAGAAAGGCAGCTTTGCTTCGCAGATGAGTAGAAAGTAGAAGTGTGACAAGGTCTTTAAGTGCAATTAAGAGTGTATGGTGGAGCTGAGAGGTAACCCTGAAGCTTCTGAAAACTTATTGTAGAGGCAAGGCTGAAAATCTTCTCCCAACAATAAAGTGTTAGTCTGAGAAAATCTAAGCTGAGAAAATCAAAGCTTCTCAACAGTAAGAGACACTGATGCTTAGGAGTCATTTTCTCACCGTACTCTGCATCAGTGCTTAGACAGTTCTAAATGTATATGCAGTGGGATAAGAGAAGAGAACACCACAGTGAATCCCACAGACTCCTTTCATCTCTAATGGCAGATTCCTGCTGTTACACTTTTGTGGTGAAATTTTCTCCTGGGTGGTAATGCTGGCATTCACCCCAGTGCTTGGGGAGCAGCACTCACTGCTCTCCCTTGTGACTTTTTAGGCACTGAATGTTGAAGAACCTGATCCACAAAGAGTCAAGGCTGGTGTCAATGCCTCAAAGCAAGGTCCCGTGCGTGTAGTGGAAAAGGGTGGAAACCAGCAGAAATTTGTCTCCCCACCAGAAGTCTCCAAAGTACCTCCTGTCAGCAAAGACTCTGCAGCACTTGAATCCCTGCCAAAAAGGGACAGCGGAGAAGACCTGGACACTAAAGACAGTTCAGCAGCCCCTGTGCCAAGTGAAACTGTTGCAGGCCCTGATGGGGCAGAGCACAAGCAGAACCCAGAGCATCGCCCGCCGCTGGCGCTGCACAGCGGGGCGGCCGCAGTGCCCACACTGCCAGTCGTGCAGGAGCTGAGGCTTGCACCCAGTGTCACTTCTCTGGGTTCTCTGCCTTCTTCTTGCTTCGAATTAAGTAGCAGCAATCTGGACATTCATAAGTAGGTGTTCTTCTGGCTGAACTGTTCTTCCTTTGGGAAAGTTTAGGTATTTTATATCACTGTTGCATGGAGGTGAATTCAAAGGCTGCTAAGTCATTTGGTGTCTTGGGTCTCAAGTCACCTTACAAAGAATTGACTTAAGTATTCCAGTCAGCAGCAAAGTAGATTACAGGGCACTATCAGGTCAGGTGTAAAGAGAAAGCATTTCCTCTCTGGCTTTCCTAAGAGGTGCTGCATGTGTTGGTTTTATATTGTTGAAAAGCCTCTCTACACTCTTGGCTGCCGTAACACTCATTTAGCAACAGGATATTGGAAGTCTAAACATCCCACTTCTGTAATAACATAAACTCTTGATAAGTTTCTCTGGCTGCTTAATGCTTTGAATGCTGTGTTTTATCCAGTGAATTTTAAGATTAATGATGCTGTGAACAAAGTTTTTGTGGATAGGTGTGCTTGTGTTTGTGTCCTTCCCACAGTGCTCAGTAGTCTGTTCTGTTAATGTCCCTCCTGGGGGGGCAGAATGGACCTTGTAGAATCCTTAATGAACTGAATTATCAATGAAGGTCCACCTCACTAAAAAGAGCATCACAGTATTTATAAACCTGAATGTGAAACCCCGCTCCTGCTCTTCAGTCTTGTACTGCTGGGCTGGCAAATTCTCTAGCTCTGAACAGGGCTTCATTTATAAAGTATTTTTAAGCCATTTTAAACAATGTTTTGGATTTGAAGCCACTTTAATAACATGTAGAATGAAATATAAAGAAGGTCCCATTTTGCATATACAGACATTTTTGAGAGAGCTAAACTGTACTTTGCTGCTCCATCTGCAGCAGACCACAGAGGGACTTTTTTCGGCAGTTTTTTACTGTGGAACTGAAATCAGGTTTGTGCAGAGAAGGCAGGGACGGTGCTAACGGGAGTGTTGATTCTGTGGAACCTCTGTGGTCCAGCTGCTTCCTAGAAAGCAAACCTTAGGATGCCAGGAGGAAGAATAGTGCCCTGAAAGTTGGTTTTAGTCTGCATGTGGTGTGTTCAGTAGCTGTATTGAAAGGCTTTGACTGTGGCAATGTCTTGCAGTGGTACAGAAATGCCTCTGGGGGAGATCCAGCTGACAGTCCGTTACGCTTCAGTACGGCAGAGCCTCGTGGTGCTGGTGAATGGCTGCAGGTAACACTGACAATCGCTGAAAGAGAGGGGCAGAGCTCTCTGGGCTTGTGTCAGTCATTCAGCAAAGCTGCAGCAGAACCAGTGCAGCAGGGGATGCCTCAGCACTGGCTGGCCTCAATCTGTGCAGCCTCACTGGGCCCAGCTCTGGTCAGTGCCAGCAGCAGGTCAGGGAGGGAGGCTGGCGAGTGGTGCCCGTTGCACTAGAGATGCTTCAACTGTCATCCACTCAAAACTTCCTCTCAACAATACTGACAACTGATGTGTGTCTTGGGGTGCCATGATAGGTATCATGGCAAGGATTGATAGCTATGACTGAATTTGTAATTGTTAATTTAGGAACCCCGATAAGTTGCCACACACTCAGTAGTGAAAATTCTGTTTAAATAAATGTCCTTGAAGTTTTAGTTCCAACTCCCAGGATGAGTCTTTTTGGCCCATGAAGGTTTGGTCTGATTCCATGAGAGTCAAGCTATTAAAACACACAGTAGGAGAACCTGCCTTGCTTATCTGTATTTCTTTTAACAGAAACTTAGTACCTTCTTCTAATCGGGGAGTAGATCCATATGTTCGTATATACCTGCTTCCAGATAGAAGGTGGACAAGCAGGAAGAAGACTTCTGTTAAGAAGAAAACACTGAACCCTCAATATGATGAGAAGTAAGAAAATGTTAATTAAGATTTTGGCTGGAATAGTTATGGTGTCTGTGTAATGAAAGGGCTTCCTAAGGTGTGCTGCTGTTGGTCCTGAGGACTGTCTTGTGAACATTTTCAGGTCTTCTGAAACAAATGGCACTTTTACTGTAATTTCCAAGTACTTGGGGCTGGTCTTACTCTGCCTGTGGTGTTGTCCCTCTGTAGGAGGGCACACCTCCTTCCCTACCCTAATCCCAGCAGGTGCAGGCTGCGCTTGCTTCCTTGCAAACAGCCATTCCCCTACCCACGTTTAACTCCCTGTTGTGGCGGAGGCAATCTTTTCATCCAGGTACCTCACAGAGCCTGTTTCTCTGTTCATATTGCTTTGCCTGATGCTTGTTTGGACACCTTTCCAAAAGTCCAAGGCAGAAGAAAGCCTTTTTGAGACTGGGCCATTCTTTGGGCAGACAGGTGGATGTTGTCATCAAGACCTGGTGGTACAGGGTAAAATGCTTTCGTTTGCCAACAGTGTCACGTGCACAGCTCCGCCACTGAAATGGAACGTGTTTTGTATAAACCCAAACACAGTAATGCTTAGAAGAAGAGCTCTTTTGAGAGGTGGTTTTAATCCCATAATTAGAGGAAGGTACACATACGTGAAAAATGGGTGATCCTGGGTGGTTTGGATTTTTCCTGTGTTGTGTCCTTTCTGTAAGTCAGAAATGGAGAAAAGATTTAAAAATATTTCATCTTAACACTCAAAACACTGGAGCTGTGGATTTTTCTGTGTATTCCCAAGTAGCTCCACTGATTCAGTGCCAGCCCAGCTGTTGGGAATATCATCTCATTTTCCTCATTCTCAGTGTTGATGTATCCTATACATCCTCAATTAAGGATAATAGGTTGGGCAATGCTTAGCTCCAAAACACATTACCTGTTTTACAGCTCTGACTTGAGGAAAAGCTATTCAGGTGGGCAGAACTGAAGTGATTTAGCATGGACAAAACTCACTTGACATTAGTGATGTGTGCCAGAGGCTTGAGTCAGAGCCATTAAGAATTTAATTGCCACAGGTTTCAGCCTTTGCTCTTTGGTGCAAGGCTGCTCTGTGAACTTGGGGGTTTGGCTCAGCTATTTCCTCTGAGTAATGAAGGTTGCATGGAAAACATGCTGGACTTCCATGGAGGGGAAAAATGATGGTAAATGGCATTTCATCATGGATGCATGTTTTCCTGCTTCCCCCTGGCACAGTGAACAGTCTGAAGACAGTGTAATAGTCTTTCATGAGGCCTGGAAGAGGTTTCTTGCAATGTGAAAGAAATCTAACTATGGATTTGCCCTTCCTGTGTCTTCCTTCCCTGTTAAAGTCTTGGCCACTGATGTTGTACTCTGTCACTGTAATCTGGTCACTGACACTTACAGGATTTTAAGTTTTGACTTAAGTCTCTCCTTTCTAAACTTTTCTTTTAGGTTCGAATTTTTTGAGTCTTTGGAAAATGTCAAGAAAAGGACACTGGACATTGCAGTGAAAAACAGCAGGCCGTTCATTTCACAGGAAAGGAAGGATCTGGGGAAAGTAAGTTTAAAGAATCCACACTAGAGATGTAACAGAGCTGAACAGTCTGGGCTGTTCCTGTAATCCTGAAATGCAGCTCACTGGCAATCTGGAAACAACATCTTCTGCCAGATTTTCATCTGAAGTCAGGCTGTACCCATGTGGAGGCTCCTTTTCACTTGGGCCTGAGATGCAGCTCCAGAACTAGAGAGTGGGTCTGACTTGGGAGGAGTGCTAGCTTAGCTAGTCAATTTGTATGCTGAATAATATACAAACAAATAAAATTTGCTTTTTAAAGGTGCGGATCGACCTGTCCCAGGAGGACTTAATAAAAGGTTTTGCACAATGGTAAGTACCATGTCCATACTTCCAAACCCTGCCCATTGCTTTGTTGGGAGAGTTTGCATGGCTGTTGTTGGAGCGCTGGTAACTGGGCTGTGTTTGGGTGAGCAAACGCAGGACTAACTTGAACTAATCTGGTAGTTTTATCTAAGTTGTGTGCTAATCCATGGGCTGTGCGGTGCCTGCCCTGTGAGACAACTTTAATGAGATGCCTGTGTGTCAATTATAGTCTTCAGCATATTTTAAGTTACCATAAAAGCCATGGGGACACATAAGTAAAAGAATTATGTTTATTAAAGCAACCTCACAACAAATTCTAACTTGGATAAAGATCTTAACTAAATACTCTGATCAGCAATATAAATATATATATGATAAAACTTTAATTACAAAGCATTTATAGAAACTATTATAATAAGCCACTTACAGTTCTGCCTGTGTGTTCCCTGTGGTTCTGAGGTTTGTGTGTTCACTGGTCTGAGGCAGAGACTGAGAACCCAGCTTGGGTGTTTTTTCCACTTCTACGTCTGTAGTTAATGGCAGTGGTTCTTCCTTCTTTCTCCTTCAATGGAGCCCAAGGAATGCAGTGTGGGTAGTCCAGGAGCTTGCCATCCGCACAGGCAGTGAGCCAATATTCCAGATAGGAAAACTGTGTTCCCCTGGCCCAGCTTGTGTGTGTGTGTGTGTGTGTGTCTCAGGGCAATTACAGGAGGAGGGAAAAACGACGCACCCAAAGTTCCTGGCGAAGAGCTGAAGTCTGAGGCCATCTCTGGAGCCTCCTCTGCCAGGCTCCCTGTGAAGGCCAAGCATTAAAGCAGCCTAAGTCCTCTCTATTGTGGCAGTTAAAACTGTAAAGAAAGTCTTAAACTACTGTAATTACTTATTGTGTCTGTCTTGCAGGTATGAGCTGACAAGGAGTAGACGCAGGAGAATTTGATTTCTTCTCATGTACATAAGTTACTAATTTTTCAACTTTATATGAATGTACATATCTCTTGTAATTATTGTGTTTTGCACAGTCATTGCAAATTTGAAGCAATCTCCAGCTCAGGACATGTAAATTTAATGATCCCGTTTGGAGATTATTTCTCACTGAAGTTAAAAAATAAACCTATTTCCTCCTCCACCGACCCCCCCAGGGAATAATTTGTCCTTAGAGAATAAGTCCTTTATTTTTGCCATTTCTGGCAAATCACCTCCCAAAGGACCTGTAAGTTTGAATCCTCTCTTAAGGAAGTGTTGTACCTGAGGATATTTTAGACTGTCAGCCAAGTGTCATTATTTTGCTTGGCAGTCTCATGTCCCCAGGATCTTGTTCATGTTGTTTTAACATGAAAGTGTTGTACTTTTTTGAAGCAGCATTCTTCAGCTGTAGGGCTACAGAACCCTTTAGACTTTAAGACTAATAGCAATTATTTTTTGAGAAACTAAGAAATCGGTATTCCACTGTTTAGAAGTACCTTTGCAGACTGTGGCTGCAGGTATGTAAATAATGAGCTTCCAAAAGCAGGGAGCTTAGTTTACCAAGATGTCGTTAAGGTTTTAGTTTGTGACACCTTAATAGGTTTTGTCCTTTGTTACAGTACATTTCAAAATCTTGTAAACCTGGATTATGCCTGTGGAACAGCAGAGTTTTGTAAACTAAGCTTTATTAATATTGAGGCAAAATATTTTTGGAAGCTTGGTGTACTTGTTTCTGTACAATAAACTTCAGTCTTGCATAAGAAACTTGATCTATTCCTTTCTAAAACTGACTTTTGGAATATGACCATGGTAACTTCCAACCACTGTCTGAAGCAAATTTTCCATATTTTTGGCCTAGATTGCATTAATCCAGTCTGCTTCAGTCCACAACATGAGAGAATACTCACTGAGTAACAATGTGATCGCATCGAAAACTGATCTGAAAATGCAAACAACATTTTAAAACAGGTCTCCAGGAAACTAAGATAGGCAAATGCTGAAAGTGTGAAGGCTGAGGCAGTTAGAGCACCTTTATCTCATACTGACTGTGTCAGGAACATTCAAAGTGCTTGTGGTTATAGTGTGCCTGGCTGTGTGCTAGGTTCAGTTTTCTAGACTGATACAGAGTGTATCTCTCTCTGGGATTGAGAAGACCAGTTAATAGCAGTTATGGTGAAAGTGTTTCTTAAATTGACCAAGAATTAAGAAAAATTAAAAAAAAAATTGCAGCAACTTTTATTTATAAAAAATCTGGAATTGTTGCTTGTGGTAACAGTGGTTAGAGGTAGCTGTAATTCATATACATCAACAGGTATGTTCACAGGTAAGATAAATCCTGCTCAGGAAGAGCAGAGTTGCTCTTGACCAGCTCTCCATTTCAGGTTTTGCACCACAGGTAAAATATCATCCACGTTACTGATCTCTGCAACAGAATGGAAAGCAAAATGGTAAGGCCTATGTACCCAGAACCCCTTCAAGCTCAGCCAGAACTGTAACTTAAGTGTTAGAAAAACAGATAGTGAGTAAAATATACTCCTCATACCTTTTAATGCTTTTGGAAAAAAATCAGTTGAGCTTACGAGTAATATGATTGAGTATATGCATGTTCAATGAAAATATTTTGCTCACTTCAAGAGGAAAAATGGAAAGAGGAAAGGGAGACAAAAGGTAGCACTATCTCTCACATGCTTATTGTGTTTTAGCACGACAGGAGTAAACAAAACACATGTTAGTTATTTAAAGTTCTATGAGGAGTCATTTGCATGAAGATAATTACAACTGCTGCAAATATTACTCACCTAAAAGACAGAGCAAATCTTGGATGAGAGCTTGGAATGGTGGAAAGAAGCGCTCGTGTTCCTCTAGTTTATTGATGATACTGAAATGTGCAAGTGAGAATGTCAGACAAGGGCTGCAAGGACATTGCAAGCTCCTCTCCTTGGCTGTTCTGTCACTCTGTGTCATGACTTTGTGGAAACACTGCAACTTAGTACATAAAACCACTGACACCAAAACTGTTCTCCAGTCCTGAAACCTGCAGCCACCAAGAGTTAGCTGTCACAAGGATCTCTGATTTCACTGTTTATGCCCTACATATATTCTTCCTGTGGACTGGATCATTACTCTATATATGCTAAATATACTGCCTAGAGGTGGCTGATATAACTGCCTTGGAGGTAGAGCTAGAAATGCTTTATAAGCAGCTGTTCTTTAGTTAAAACTGTGAGGAGTGAGTACAGAAAGGCTGAGTGAGTATTGTTAACTCAGCATGTGTCAGACTTGTTGCCTGCTCCCGTTTTTAGTCTGTTTAGTAGAGCACAAGCTGAATGCAAGCTCTCACAGTCTGCTGCCACCTAGATGTGGCTGTCATCTGTTGAAGATGGAACAGGTAGGCAGCTTGAGGCATACACTGCCTTAGCAACTCATACACTTCAGTATTACAGCTGAAACTTGCAACACTTTCTCCTCCCACCCACGTGCATGATTTGTCTCCCGATGAAACACACATCCCATTAAGGCTCCTTTGATCACCTTATCCATGCAAACCACAGGGTGTTTTGGAATCTTCTGGCCTCAATTCTTCTCTTTGCCAGCTTAACCTTTTTGAAAGAATTTGACAGTTGTTTCAAGTAGGATAATAGCAACACCTCTGCTCTTGCAGTTCACTGACTTCGTAACGTGTGATTGGTTTCTTTCAGCATCAGTTTAGCCAGTTCCCTCAATTATTGCATTTGATGTTTGAGGAATGGTCACCGATGGAACAGCCCCACATACCTGTGGATGTCCTGAGTCCCCAGAAGCTGCTGTACCTGCTCAGTCACGTTCTTATTAATGATGTCACATAGTTTCCCAACAGTATCTACTACCACAGTGGGTGGAGCTGAACTGTCTGTGGAAAAACAAACACTTCATGTGTCTTGTAACAGTAATAACAGGGAAGTATTTTAGACAGAGTTGAATTCTTGCAGGTGTCCAGATTTTATTTGCTTTTCATAGATCTAGGCATACACATTCCACCATTCACAGAAAACAAAGTGCCCATGGTCAGAAATAAACAAATGTTAACTAGCAATGGGGAATCTCTCACTAATCCTCTAGTGGCTAAAAAAAAATTGGCAGAGCTGTGAACAGTCATGCAGAGGTGGTACTAAAGTGCACCCTACAATGTTAGTGGAAATCAGCCAACTAAAATTACATATCTAGAGAGATGGTTCCTGTGACACAACAGACACATTATAGGGCCTATGCCAACAGGAACTTGCTTAATAAATATTTTGTTAACACCCAGAAATTGTTTTGGTATTGGATTTTATCTGTTTTGACTACTGTGACTGAAGGTAACAGGCTCCTTGTCCTTTTCTCCCTCAATTTCAGAAGAACTAGGCTTGGAGAAGGCATCCTCTAAGCTGCAGTTATTATGGGGACATGAGGCTTCCTCAGTCTTTACCTAGTTCCAGGAGCTCATGGAGATTCCTCATAGCGTTGGTCATTTCCCCAAGCTTTGTGTAAACCTCATTCATTCGTGGATAAACACCATTCAGAGAATTCACATCAAACAACTTCTGGAAGTGGGAGACTATCGCAGACAGAGTCTGCAAGGACTGTGTCTGGCTGTTCTGTAGCAAGCGGGAAGAACTCATCAATGTTACTGCTTAACAAGACAAGGACACTTTCAAACTGTCAAACACTCTTAGAAACAGTCTGAAGAAACAGGGGTGTAGCTTCCCTTAATAAACCTCAGCCTTTCAAATATTTTTAAATCTGAAGACGTATTTTCAATATCTTTTAGGCACAAATACATACTAAACCCAAAATACTCTTTCAAAAGCTTTCTTCTCTGTTGCTGCAAAGTACATTTATGTATTCTCAGCACTGACTGAGAAACAGAACAGTGTCATTCCTGAGACTACAGGGCAATGCAAATTCAGTGCTGGTCAAGTGCCTTTGATCAAAGCAGTCTTCCCCAAGGTGAATTTATCCATTATGTTAAAACAGTCTTTGACTATTGCATGTCTTCAAACAGATATTTCTTAAACCCCACAAGGCTTTCAAATGCACCAATCTAATCACCGTGTGAAGAATGCATTTAAGAATGTAACCTGTGATTATGAACCCCTGGGTGAGAAATACCTTTTCTTTATTTTCTATTTCTTCCAAAATTGCATCTACTATGAACTGGAGATCTTCAACTCGTATGGATTCTCTGTTATCCTGTGGATCTGCAGTATGCCAGGGCATCAGTTCCAGAGACAGTTTTCTCAAGGATCTATGCAAATCCTTTTAAAAGAAGGGAGGGGACACAACTTATTTAGAAATTGCTTAAAGTTGTTTTTACTATAGAAACAGGCAGACTTGCTGTTTCTCAGCAAGAGGTGTATCTCTGGTATGTGTTTCACATGGACAGCACAATTACTTTTAAAACTTAACACCCAGTCAGGCAATAACAAAAGCTACACACAGAAAATCCACACAACCACGTACAGAGAGAGACCGAGGAGGGGTCAGCCCATGAAGGGAAGACTATAAAGCCAAGTACAATAACGTGTCATTACCTTTAGAGCCATCAGCTGATCTGCCCACATTTCTATAGTGAGGGGAAGGTGCTCAAATCCACATTCCTGTCTGTTCTCTTTAGCATAATTTTGCACTGGCCCTTTGCTGCGCCGGTATATTAACGGGGGAGCTCTTGGACTTCGCAAAATAGAATCAATATGGGACAAAATCTTCAAAAACAACGAACAAGCGTTATTGCTCAAATATGTATGACGTTTTGTAATAAAATTCCTCTTATTCACAGTCATGATTGTCTTAAGACTAAATCACAAATAGCTCCAGTATTACTATCCATCCAATATTACTATCGATGATTTTTACACAAGCATTCAATCTGTAATAGATTCCAAGATTGAAACATATACAAGCTAGAAGATATGTAAAAGTAATGCAAATATAATTCCCTTTGAGGGATATTTAACATTTATCCACTCAAGGCATTGTTACTTCCCCAGTTTACACTTTATTAAGTTTTATTATATTTGGGATTTTTAATTTGCCACTAACTCCACAGGTGTGCTTAAAACTGTACCTAAGGATCCGTTTTGCCCAGGACCTTGAACAAATCCCGTCCTGAAAGAACTTCAGCTAAATCGTGGATTTGATATTTGCCAGCCTAGTGTCTGCTTTCTTGCTATATTTTCAAGTAGTTTACAGAGATAGAACAATAAAGAACCAGCCTACATTAACTGCCAAACCCAGGACATTACTCATCTTGCACAAAGGACTTGATAGGAACTCTTAGACTCAAACCAGCACCCACCAGTTCACGTGGGTAAACAAAATGTGTGTAGTATTTCATTGTAACAGTGCTAGATACACACAGCACAGATGAAATCTGTGTACCTGTAAGTACTGCCGGCAAGCTGCCTGCAGCTGATCCACTTCTGCAGTGCTCCCAGATTCTTTCTTTTCTTCTCTTTCTCCAGTCCTGCTCCCCAAAGATCTGCACAAAAATATACACAGCGGGCTACACAAACAGCCTTAGCAGGAGATACTACTTTCAATCTGATGAAAGAACCAGGTATGCAGCATCTACCAAGTAAAATCTCCATGTTACGCTGTTGGCCGATAAAAATTCCATCAGACTGAATTAGTGCAGACTGACAACACAATACCTAATGTAAATATCACTGATTTATCTCAAACCTCCAGGTTATTCCAGACTGTATCCTGATTTAGAAGGGACACCACCAGATACACAGTTGTTTTGTTA